GAAAGGAAAGAACGCTTCTCGTGCGTGCGTGTGTGTGTGTGTGTGTGATAGAGAGAGAGAGAGAGAGAGAGAGAGAGAGAGAGAGAGAGAGAGAGAGAGAGAGAGAGTCTGTCAGCGCATGTGCCTGGTTTTGACGATTTCGTTCGTCTGATTGTCTTTTTTTTTTTTTTTCCTAACGCATTTTTGCGCGCTCTGGTTTCGCTAATCTGACGAGAGGAGCCTGACAGAAAAACTGTGGAAAGAAAGCAACGCCACTGAGGCCTCAGTGTGCAACTGTGTGTATGTCTTGTCTGCTATAATTAGCTCCTCGCTGTTCATGTCAGAGGGAGTACCGTAGCTGCCGAGTACACACATTTCGATCCACCCCTCTGCTTATCCCTTTGGTCCCACGAGGGCAACTACATACATTTCAATACAGTACAGTCTACCTGAGGCTGATCTTTGGAAAACCCGTCGATATCTTTCTGCGCAGTCAGACTCAGTCGCTCAGTGAGTCGAAAGGTTTCGCTGTTGTGGATTGATACCGAAAAGACTGACTCTGACGCCATGGGTGGGACCTCTCTGACTGGGGCACTGATTTTGTAGGTGAGCTGCGGGGGAGGCATTAAAGTTTTGCTGCCTCTACGGGACCGTTTTTCGTGGTGAGCCTCATGCCGACGCACTGTCACGTCATTGCAGCTGAGCGCAGGGATTATTCCAGCCAGGTAGGAACAGTTAGCGTTTATCCAAAAAAAAAAAAAAAAAGAAACAGTTAGCGTTTGGAATTTTCCAGCCGTGTAGAAACAGTTAGCTGGGGGATGTGTCCGACGAATTAGCAACTGTTTGTGAGGGGGGATGGTTCCCGCGGGAAAAAAACTGTTTTGGACGGGATGGTTCCGGCGGGGAAACTGTTTGCAAGGGGATGGTTTCCGCGGGAAAACTGTTTTCGAGGGGGTGGTTCCGTCGGAAAAACTGTTTGTACGAGGGGGGATGGTCCCTGCCAAATGGAAACAGTAGTAGGTGGATGGTTTCAGCGAAGAAAAAACAATTGTTAGTACTGACAGACTACGAATGGACGTACACAGATGGCCTGTGGGATGTGGTAGCGCTCAATGCTACCTAGTGCAAGGGAACAGTTTAGCCTCACTGCGCGTGTGAAGGCGGCCTGTCTGCCGTCACAGTGCTTTATGTAATCTATCATTTCGTCAAAGTGGTAGTCTTTTGTCACAGCCTTTCGTTTGTTGTCCTCTTCTCCCTCTCTGCCTACGGTTTACCGGGGAGCCCTGTTTGACGATATATATAATATAATATATAAACGAGTTATTATTATTCTATTTATTATTATTATTATTTTTTATAGATCAGATATTGAACTGATGAGAAGAGATACTACACTTGATCTTAGCCAAAAGGCCGAGAAAGGTATTTCTTGTTCTCTCCTGTTTTTTTCGTCTTTGCGCTCTGATATTCATGTGACGATATATATATCGTCAAATATATATATATTACATATATATGTTGTGACGATATATGTATATTGTCCTCTTCTCTCTCTGCCTACGGTTTACCGGGCAGTTCTGTTTGTGACGATATATATATAGGCTACCAGCCGGGCCGCCCAGGTCACCCTATTTTCCCGGGCAGCCCGGCCGTGCAAGGACTAGGAAAGGTCCCAGCCAAAAAAAAAAAAAAAAAAAACCGAAAAAAACTATGTTATGCAGAAAAATATATTGAACAACTTTTGCCTCAGGGTCACATCGAAATTATTTACCATTAAAATAAAAATTTAAATTAAAAAACAATTTTTATTTGTATTCTTTTTATTTCTTTTTGGCCCGGCCGGGCAAGCGGACACGGGCCAAGATGCCTGATGAAATGCTTCTTTAGGGGTTATACTTCCATTTGTCCAAATTTCTAAAAGAAGCAGTTTATATATTTTATGAAGGGCGATGGCCTTGAGATATCATCATTGAGCTGGGCGGCCCCAGGAGGAAATTCAGAATGATTTTATTCTATTCATTTGATCGCAGGTGGACTCGAACTTGGGTCTGCATTTCAACAGTTCATAGGGTGTACCAACTGAGCTAGGCCCGTTGGTAGTGTTTATATTTTTTGCGGCAATGATCAGTTTAATATCTGATTCGGGGTCCATCGGTCGGCACAATATCAAATTATTGTTTCTGGTCCATGAAGGGAAAAAATAAATAAAATAATTTGCCTCATTTTGGCGGGAAAACGAGGACCTTGATCTCTGAATGATGATCCGACCTGAGCTGTATTTCGTTTATCTTTCAGTCTATATACAGCTATAATGACCGGGTGAAGAAGGTAGTAATTATTATTCTGTACGTAAAAGATCCCTCCTTTCTCACAATGTTCATTTTTTGCAAGGATGTTCATTTTTTCAAGCATGTTCATATTGTGCGAGGATTTTTATCTTGTGCGAGGATGCTCATTTCTTGCAAGGGTAAAGGTAGTTGAGGGTAGTCGGTTAACTCTTGCAAGTCTATATTGCGTCAGAAATGGTAAGCTTGTCCTGCGTTTAACTAAATTGCTGCATTCCTCACTCAGCTGGATAGAGCAACAACCTTCTTCTAAGTTGAAGGTCGCAGGTTCAAAGTCTCTCCCTTAGGCGTGAATTCACTCGCTCCTCCCATGATTCGCTGGGCCAGAAATTAACGAATATACAATTGTAAAATATTCTGATTTCTAGTCTTCTGACTGTAAGCTAAACTGGCTGATGCTGCTAGGATAACTCCGGTTAGAATTGTGAGGTCCCCGGCCTCGAGTATTATTTTGGAATATATGATTTTCACTGTAAAAAAAATCATAATAATAAAAAAAATTCTGATTTCTCGTTTTCAGTTGCTGTAATAGGGATGCTGGACCCGTTTTCCAGCAGTTGCTACTTCCCAACCAATAGATAGGAGTCTCCCGCTGAGTGGCTACCTTCTTTCCCTGAATACAACCTACGATCATTATATCTGTATTTGGGCTATCTTTCAGTCTAAATACAGCAATAATTACCATACGTTCTGTTTGGGGGAAGAAGGTAGGGGTGGATGCCCTAACCACCACTCCTAGCTATATCAGCAGGTGGTGTTGTTTTTAAAAAAAAAGGAGCATCTGAATGGGAGTGGCCCTAATTAGGGTAGTGGCCCTAATTAGGAATCTCGCCCTACTTATGTGGGGGCTGTGTTGACTCTTTTGGGTGAGTTGCATTCTTTGCTCAGCTGGATAGAGCAGCAACCTTCTTTTAAGTTGAAGGTCGCAGATTCAAAGTCTTGCCCGATAGCGTGAATTCACTGGGCTAGAAATTAACGAATGCATCGTAAAACTTTCTGGTCTTTTTTCCTTTCTTAATGAAGGAGCATCTGAGTGGGCATGGCTGCAATTAGGAACCAATCAGCGGCCCGTAACTGTAGCCCCTTTGTCCCTCGTGTTTTTGTTTTTTATTTAATGCTTGAAAAATGGTGAATGGAACTGACGTTAGTGCAGCCCTGCTGATGGTCACTGCTGGATGGTTAAACTGGCAGAGTGTCGATAGACTATAATTATCGATATATCGCTCACGCCCACGCCGATGCTAGGATTTGTGGAGAGAAGACCACTGAAGGTACCTCACTGAATTTCTGCGAATGTGTGGTACTTCCTATTATCAGTGGCTGGATTTGGCCAGGATAGAGCCTGTATACGGTCATGATGATGGGGAGTTAAGTTTGAGAGAGTAAGGTAGATCCATCCTGCATTTTTTGTCCTGGGCTCATCACCAACAACAGAGGACAAGACTAAGGGCTGCTACTGGTTGATGAACCTTTGGGTCAAGAAGCACAACGCAGTTTTCATTCTACTACATAGAGACAACCCTGCCTTGTGTCAGGGCATGCGCTTAAAACTGTTCTGTTCCGACACTGAGTGAGGTCTCGGATAATCAACACGATCGAGATTGCATTTTCTAATACTCTTTTGAACAGATGGACCAACTCCCACCTAGAGACAAGCCTGCCTAGTGTCAGGGGTCACTGCTGGATGGTTAAACTGGCAGAGCTATTTTGTTGGGATGTGGCGTCGAAGCCACTGCTCCCTTGGGGGCTGGGCCTACGGAATGGAAAAGGCCGGCGGCGCAAAGCAAAAAACTTGCGATTTTGCACCTGCACGTGCTCGGTAAAACTTGGCGTGCAGGAAAAACTGGCATTTAGGAAAAGAAGTCTCTGACGTATGGGTGGCTGGCTTAAACCACTACAGTCTTCCCTCGAATACAACGTATGGTCATTATAGCTGAATTTAGACTGAAAGATACACCAAATTCAGCGATAATGACCGTATGTTGTATTCGGGGGAAGACTGTAGTACCTGGCCCCAGCCTTGCACTCTGAAACTTGTTGCCACAAGAAAAAGAGGCCGAAACTTCAAACACTGGGCCTGTCGTTGATAAATTGGATCGACGGTCCGGTTTTTGGTTCGCGCTTTCCAGAATTTGAGGTGTCAGGTGCCATGTACTGGTGCTTTAGACTCCCAATACATGTCCCCAGCCTTGCAGAGAAAGAAGTTCGTTGCCTACAAAAAAATTGGAGGCTCGGGGCTACCAGTAGTACCGGACCACAATGGCTGGCAGTGTCAACCAAAAAAAAAAAAGGTGCACCGTTGGCTGTCCGGCGAAGCTTTGTGCTGAGTGTCTGTAAGGCCCGGGTGTACTAGTGGTTTAAGCCAGCGCGCTATTTGTTTGACCGGAGCGTCCGGACCTATTTCAATGCATCTGAAAGCATGAAAGAGCAGCACTTGTGGTGAACGGGCGATGATGGGTGATGATCATGAAGTACATGAGCCATGTGACCGCGAGTTCTCCCTGGCGTACGCTGAGTCTCTTCTTCAAAGTGATGGCAACCAGTTGATATAGATGGGGTTTACAATATGTCCAGTAAGCATGCTATTCCATCTGTATGGCGTTCACCAGAAGTGAATGCACGTCAATGGACTTAAGAGATGTGTTTACGTTTTGTTGGTACTGATGCATGATGCAGGCACGTTACATGAGCGAGAGGAGCTGGGAGCCCTACTGTGTGTAGAAGTACTGTCTTTGTGAAAATGATGACAACAAAATGGTTCAAATGGCTTATGATATGCCCATCAGATGGTGCGGCGGACAATTGTCCTGACAGCCAGGTAAATAAATAGCATGAATGCTACTGAACGATAGCTGCTTTTGTCTTTGACTCAATCTGCTGTTCTGTTCGTTTGGTGTATTTGCTTCTTTACTGATTTACCTTTGGAGAAGGTTTCCCTCTCAAGTACATGCTTGAACTTTGATATGTTATTGAAATGGTGTTTGCCAATGCTAGAGTCTGCTGGTACCTCAATCCTGCTCCTTTTGTTTACTTCTATCTTCACCCGAATAGAATGCCCGGTCATCGTAGTTATATTTGTGCAGCCTTCAGTCGAGATACGGCGATAATGACCATGCGTTCTATGTGGGTGAAGACGGTAGCCATTGTTTTATCTGCGCCAGGCTTCCCGTGTCCCTTGATCTATAACCTGACATCGTCACTACTTGTTGGCATGGACCCTTCATGATTGTGCAGGGCATGATTGTATTTTTTGTACTTGACTGATGCTTGTGAGCCTCCAGGCATAAAGTGCATCGTTGCTGTATTCTGCTCAAGCCCATTGTTGTTCCCTACAGTGTGTCTCATTCATGTTTTTTTAAACACTTTTTAAAAGAAAAGGCCGCTTTCCCCCCCCCCTGTCTTTTAAAGGAAGGAAAGGCCGCTTTTGTTACAGTTGAAAAATAGGTTGTCCGTCATCCATGTTTATCCATGCGGCCTGCTCAGATCTTCTGCCCCTTCCTGTTGATCTGTCTGCCTTTGTCTGCTGTCATGGCTTTCCTTGTATGTGTGCTCTTTGGGAATGTCTTGTATCATCGGCATGGATTCGAAGTTACCTCACTTTTGGAAACGCCCATCAGTTAATTGTGTTCTCAGTCATTGGCTGCATGATTTGTTTATCAGGAGGACGTATTATGTTTGGACTAGTTTGCACTTCTCAGTTCATACAGAAACCTGCACCGATTTCCATTCTGGTTTCCCTCTCTTTTGGGGTGGCAGTCTTTGCTGTCGCTGCTTTGTGTTCTTTCTTCTCCGGTTGTGATTAAGGTTTGATAATGGCCTTTCTTATGCATTTGGCAATGGACTCGTATTTGTTTGTGGATACACGACCTTTTTTCTTTTTTGGTCAGTTTGGACTCGATTAAGGTTTGATTATGGGTTCTCTTCTCACTCGTTTGGGAATTGACTCGCATTCATTTGTGCGCAGGCGAGTGGAGGCGGGCATGAGCGTGTAAGGCGCAGGTCGAGGTGCGGATGCCTGCAATGCAAAAGGAGGCGGCGGAGGCGTTCTCGAGGGAGTGACAAGCATCATGGAAGGAAAAGACAGGGGGATGCTGAATGTGGATGTGATGGTTGTAAGGCCAGGGAAAGCAGCCGGGTCTCCCCCGGCACAGAAAAAGGAGGGGAAATACGACAAGGGCAAGTCAATGAAGGAGAGCACAGAGGTGGGGAGGATGTGGAGGAGTTGCGCCGTAGGATAAGCTTGGAGGTCGCTGCAGGAAAAGCTGAGCGAGATGTGTATCGTGAGGAGTCTGGATCTGGACATGGGGACCCTGGCAAGTCCCCAGAAGACGAAGGATATCCAGAAGGTTCGGAGAAATGGCGACAAACGGGCACTCCTTATGGTCGTCAATTTGCATTGAGTCTGGAAGAACTGAGGAGTGTCAAGCTGCGCAAGGTCAGGAGGCCGAGCATGGAAGCACTTGCGAAGGGCATGAAGGATTCCTCCGAGTTGGAGAGTGTCGGAACTGGGAAGCGGCATGAAGGTGATGCTTGCCCTGCGAATGACGTAAGACTGTTGTCACCTGTGTATGGAGACGAGGAGGAGATTGTCACGAGTGCTGATGAAGACGTGACTTGGAAGTACGTTCCACGTGCCCGCGGAGGGAGCTCGGATTTCAGTGTGCCGGATCAGAGTTTGCCTCGTGGAGCCGAGGAAGAAAGGGCAGCTTCTCCAATGGCAATTGCGGAAGGAGAAGGGGTGGGGCAGTCGATTCGGGTTGCTGATGGGAGTGGAGTGTATGCGGTGAAAAGTGCCCACAGAGTTTCACCGCTGGCTCTCAGCGCATGGGAAAAGGTGGCAGTGTGGATGGAGAGGGGATCTATGCACGGGGATGGGAGCGTGGATTATTTGAGCCTAGACGATGAAGGTGCACCTAGTCTTGTGAGAAGTGTGGGCTCAACACGGGTTGAAGTGCTGGATGAAGGCATGAATGGGGCCTTTAATGGTGATGAAGAGCGGGGAGTATCGCCACAGCCTGCAGACTTGGCATTTGGGCGATCAGAATGCCCTACACCTGGTCTATCGGAAAGTGGATTGGAAGCGTGGAACAGGGTTCTGACATGGATGAATCGAGAAAGGAGGCTTTCCATCAATGAGCTGTTTCTGGAGCCAGCAAACTACGAGGGAAAATCGGAGGATGGTGTAAACTCTGCTTCTGGTGGGTCAATGAAGTTGGATCCCAGTGCCCGAAGGGATGCTGAATTTGCTGATGAGGGAAGTGAGAAGCTCTCGGGCACCTTCCAGATGATGGCTGCGGATGAAGTCTTCAGACTGGACTCTGAACGCGAATGGGATGAAGCAGACGGTACTCCAGCCCGGTCCGTGCTCCGTGCACAGCAGGCACTTAGCGAAATCGAGAAGATGCTACGGGATAGAGGAACGTGCAGCAACGAGAGTGCAGGTTGGCTGAGGGAAGGGAGAGATGGAAAGCCTCTAGGGCAGGTGGAAGACAACCAAAGGAGGATGGTACGAGAACCTGAACCTGGAACAAAGAAGGGCAGTGGCAGCTCAAGTGGTTCGTCTATGCACAACAGAGGATGGGGTATGGCAATGCTTAAAAAGAGCCCCAAGATGAGGGAGGCGGAAAGGGATCGGGATGCTGGAGGATCCACACCGTCACATAGACCGCGCACATTGCCTGTGAATGATGCCCATGGCCAAGGGACTGGGGAGCATGGGAGTTATCAACGATGCACTGCAAACGATCCTACGGTGGCGACCAATTTAACGAGCGAGCTCTTCAACGTGGGGGAGGTAGGATGGGCCGGATCAGGTAGCTCCTTGCACGGAAAGGAGGGTGCTGAACAGGGACAACATAAGGGCAGGGCTACTTTGGCACAGTCAAAGGAAGATAAGTCTAAGGAGACACAAAGGATTGCAAGTGGCCGCAGTGAAGAAGGGGCTTGGAGTGAAGATGGTCTATGCAACGAAGGAAGTATTCGTGGACAGAGTCTCTCTGCCAGGATTGAGAGAGAGTTCTCCTCCAAGCTTGAGGCGCGTTGGAAGAGGGGGTCTCATTTGTTGAAGTTGGAAACACTCTCTTGTCCACCAAGCCAAAGGGAGAAAGGATTGGCGGGGGGTGATGCACATGGCTCTGTTGATGGAGGAGGAGAAGCTGATGAATGGTTTGACAGAGACGAAGTTGAGAATGGGTTGACCGGATTTGAAGCTGAGCTTGTCAAGGCAGTCAAAGCTTGGGATCAAAGACGTTTACTGGACACGCCGAAACGCGTCCATGTGCCAAATCAACTGGAAAGCTGTACGACGGGTGAAGAGAAGGTGGCAGTAAGCACTGGAAATGAAGAATCCCATGCGAAGCACCTCGTTAAACTATCACCTGGGAGAGGTGGTGAGTCTGAGGAGGGAGGGGCTCCTGATGGTCAGGAAGGACGAGCTGGTGCATGTGCTGCGCCTTGGGTGTGGGATCAAGTGGAGCAAAGGAGTTGTGAGTCTTCTGCGCCTGGAGGGGAGTCCAAATACAGCGAGCCGTGGGCTTCCGTTCTCATACAGTCGGCTTGGCGTGGCTATTTGGTAAGCAGCTAGATAATCTGAGGCAGTCAATCTATCCAGTCGTTTCCACGCTTGTCATGGATTTCCAAAACAAGTTTTGATTATGTATCAAAAAGTTATCATGTTGTTTGGAATATAATGCTGCTGTGGTCTATTGGCGATGCCATTTGGAGGCAGTGAAAGCGAGGTAACCGAGCCACCATGGTACCGACCAATGCACCATCGATGAGGAACGCTAGAAGTTCAAGAACGCACTTCACTTCTGTCTGCACGGAGGCCACTCATCTATCACCTGAAGCCTGAGGCTACTAGTGATGATATCTTGAAACTTGATGGATAATGCTCCTCAAAGCATTTTGGTCCAACTACAGAGGACGTCATAGTGGCCGCCTGTGCCAAATCAAAGACGTTTACTGCACACGCCAAAACGTGTCCACGTTGCAGGGACGTCATAGTGGCCGGCTGTATGATGTGTCCATTGAAAACGAAACAGGAAAGCTTGTGAAGCAGTTAGAAAGTAAAAAGCTTTTCTTCTCCTCCAACCCTTTACCCCACCGGGCTGTCCCTTCCTATCCCTTCGCCACTAGTTCTACATGTAGGCGGTGCCCATCGAAGTCAGTGCGGTGTACTGGAAGAGAAGGTAGCTCTCTACTCGATGGAAGCAAGCTGACCTACTTCATGTCCCTCGCTTTGTCTGTCCTGGGAATGCACTTTCAAACTGAGGTATTTGCGTTTTTTTTTGCACAAGATGCACCCCGCTTTACCAAAGATAACGTACAAAATGGTTCTCGACGTTCTGGCAATTGGATTGTGCCAAGTTTGTGACCAGGAAGAATTTGTGACCAAATGAGTCTGATTTGTAAACTCGGTTTCTACTGGAGCTGTACTGCCATGACTGATTGACTCTGTGGGTTTTTGGGCGATCCAGTTGCAACTTTTGATCAGGCATTGATCTGCTTAGTCATAGGAAGGATCAGTCGTTTGTCCCATTAGTTAATGGGTCATGTTGCGTGTGCTTGTTTTCCTTTTTTGATTAGACTCAAGTCTCCAGCGGTTCGTGGGATTCAGATGCCCAGTTACATACTTGGGGTTCGTATAGAGCCTTTATCATGGCTTGCGAGAACAATCTCTTGGCTTTGCTGTGCTCTCAGAGAAACAACTGAGACGATAGATCCTGTAGGCGCTTTGACATGTAAAAGTGTGATTCAGGGGCTTGGATTCATGGATGTTTTCTCTTTTTCCAGTGTTGTTTCAGTTTAGGGATCATCCCATGTGTGCGGAGTAGAGATACATCTCGTTTTACTTAGGAGCCTTTGGTTGATAATCAGAGGATGGACGGACGGGGACAGCTATTTTGTGAATTGGTGGTAATGGACAGCGGCATCAGGCCTGTCATAGTGAGGGGAGCTTGCCGGCTTAAACAGCCCACTATCTTATGCAGATGCGCTGGTTAAGAGGAGACCTGTTCGTTATCAGTTGCTGTGTTGGATTGATGACTCGATGGCCACAGGTTTCTTTTCTAAATCCTGCGGTGGCGCAGTGTTCCACGAGGTGGTGGTAGTCTAAAGAGCTAGTCTGGAGGCATTACGGACTTCTGGTTTCCAAGCGGTTTCAGTTGAAGGATCAGTGGTTTGTTGTTTCTTGCATTTCCCTCTTGCTCAGGCTCCGTCAAGCTCATTTCAGTACCTGATGACTTGGCAAGAAGTCGTCTTCGTACTGTGTGGCAACATGGAAAGAAGCCTTGGAAAACAGGGAGAGGATGCTGAAAAGGTAAGCTTGAAGTATATCTTAAGGCACTTGTACAAAGACGCCCTAGAAGGATTATAGCAGCTTGGACTTCGGCACTGGGCAACATGTTTGTTTTGTGACCGGTCTCCAATGAACTATAATACACTTTGGCAGTGGTGGACATTGACTACACGGCTCGCATGAACATGGTGCTCTTGCTGTTTGCGGCTTGAGAATCCAACATGCCATGGCATGAGGAAGTCAGGCGAAGTGGACTAGCCGGGTTAATTGTGCTGTGTTCTGGGGGCGTGTGCTATGAGGGTTGCACTTCGGGCTCAAGGTAGAGGGCTTAGTTTGATAATATAGGCATAGCTTAGAAGGTTAGTCAAGTGAGTGGAAAAGTATAGTCGGAGTTAAATGGCCTAACTTGTCTGAGATGGTGTACCTTCAGCAGACAGGCTTAACTCTAGCGCAAGCCTGCACGATCAGCTGTAGTTGAAGGGTTCAGCTTGACCCAGGGTCCTTCGCTTGAATAAGGAGCTTAGCTTGAGTGACGAGTCCAAGGGCTATAGCAAGGGAATCCTTGCGCAAGCAGCTTTGAGATTTAGCAAGCGCGTTTAGCTCAAGGCAGGGGGATCAGATTGAGTGAGGTGGTTTGAATTGGGACATGGGCATAGGCAAAATGTAACCGTTGGCTATTTTTTTCTAGTGAGGGAGCTTAGAGAACTTGCTTAGTTCATTGCAGCTATTGGTCACTGAGGCGCTTGCACACGGTTAAGTGGACCTCTGTTGTTACTGACCACAATTTCCTCTTATGCCCGGGATGGCCTAATGGTGAGATACGACACAGCTAAACTCCACGAGCTGACAATTCATGCTATTAAGGGCATTCGAGTTCCACATCGAGTCTTTTTTGAGCTGTTTCTTGGATTTCACCGGGGTGCCGTTGTCGACCCACCAGGTTATAATTGACTGCACTCGAGTTTCACAGTTTGGGCAGAGCTGTTTGTTCCTTGGATTTTACCCGGGGTGCTGTGGCTGTTCTTTGAGTCACAACTTGAATGGGAAACGGGCAGCTCAATGAAAGAATGGAATGGAGAGGGAGGGCAGGGGATGACCTCTGTTAAAGTTTTTCCCCACTGGGTTTCAGCAGAGGATTCTCTGAAGGAATTTGGCCAGGCTGATAGAGTATAGTATAGATGGGTCATATTGATCCCTCGTCGTCTCATCTCCCCGGTGAGCTTTGGGCATAAGGACAACCGAAATGGGAGGATGGCAGCACCCCATGTCGACAGTTTTCTCCGCCTGTATCCTGTCGAATGCTCTGTGCAACAGTTGGTTTTGGGGGATAATCAGCAGCACCGACCGGTGCTTTTCTTCCTTGAGTGGTTGCGTACCAATTGCTCAGTGTTTTTTTTCCGGGGTGGTTGCATACCAATTGCTCAGCGATGGGGGGTTATTGTGGTGCAACAGAAGCAGTTGTTTCTGTTTTGACGGGAATCCGAATGGATTGATTGGGTGGCACCTTGAAGGCAATGAAGGAAGTCAATAACCCCGAAGGAGTGGATATGGGGGTGTGAAGAGTGCGGGATACAGGTCGTGAATTGCTTTCAACTTTCAAGTTTGTATTTGAGAACTGAAGTATGTTGTTGCATGTGAGCAGTTGGAGTCGGGCCTTCAGGCGGATTCTAATTCTAACTGATGTCCTCCCATTCCTGCCTGTCGCTGGCACATGTTATTTCGCTCCATCCACAGGAATGCCGTCAATAAGCTGCTGGGCAGGTTGGATTGGGAATGTACTGGAGCTGTTCGTACCAAGACGTGTGGAAGGCACAGCAAATGGGGATTGGAGCTTCTGGGCTGATGGGCAAGCGTTAATGCGAGTGTACACTTCACAGAGCATGATGAGAGGTGTTTTGGGCTTGGTGTCTCATGATGGGACGTTCAGGGGCTTCAAGGTTCAGCGATGCTGTTTAAACTGCTGCCACCTAGAGGTTATCAGAGGACTTCAGTGTTACTTTGGCCTGAGGAAGTTGTGTGCCAAAATGTGGCTCGCGATGGCTTCTTGGGTAGAGCATTTCTGACTATTGAAGACAGCGATCTGGGGATTTCGGTCTACGCAGACACAGCAAGAGGGTCTTGAGATGTGGTAGCGAAGGAGTATGGTGGACGTGAGTGCTGCAGACACATTAGGAGGGTGGGACTCTATGACTTCAGATCACAGCTATGTCCCACGACAGGCGAATGGTCAAGAAATAGGAAGTGCAGCGGCAGTTGGCAGTGGATTGGAGTTGTGCAAATATGTGTCAGGTGCTGTTGCATTTATGTATATTGCTGGCGGGGTATGTAAGGACAGAAGGCACTTCTGGAGTAATCGATGCTGAAGATCTAATGTGAACAAACAGTGGGGCAAGAATCTGTTTGGGTTGTTGATAATTTGAATGATAAGGAGAACTATATGTATTCTATTGATGCTGTGGGTACTATTTCCGGCTGGTAAACCTGCAAATTGTGCTGCTCTCTGGAGATTGTTGGTGGTACTGCACTGCGGGTGTCACCTTTGGCAACGTTGTGGACATGGTCTCTTTTAAAGAAAAGACGATGTCAAACAGGTTGGTTTCTTGATGTGGTTCTGCGCATGCGCTTTTTTGAAGTCGAGTATATGGAATTCATGGAATTCGCGCCAGATCGTACGTGACATCAGATACCAAGGGTTTTGACGTATGCATAGTGCTGTACCTTAGCGACATTAACTTCTGGGGCGTTAGGTAGACATATTTTTTGCTGATGCCAACACGGCATCCAAAGTAATGGGTGTGTTGTGGTACTGGGAATGAGCGTGGTGACCGCTGCTTACTAAGTCGTCTGTGGCATGGACAATGAGACATCTGCCACCCACGCACTTGAGGGTATACGGTTTCCTGCTCTTGGGGAGAGGCGGACATGAACGTATCTTGAGGAGGTGGCCATGAGTAACACCGTGCCGTATTGTTGACAAATGGCCGGGTGGAAATACCATTGACTGAAAATCCTAGGTTTGTAGGATTCGGTCTCCTGTGGCACAAGGAATGGCATCTAACTGATGTCCCTTGGAGGATGCATGTAAGTTGAACGGGCTGCTACTGGATTCAAAACCAGGTCCAAGATGATGGAAGTAGCAGTCCATGGATCATTACTTGTTGATATTGCCACCCCCCCCCCCCCCCCCCCCCCCCCCTCAATGGATCGTCAATCGTCAATATGGTTTCATTGGTCATCTGCTATTGATTGTCGAATTTTCGATAGGGTCATCTGCCTGCCATGGATAATCAAATTGTCGATAGAAAATATTAGAAAGTTCGATTTTGAACGCGTGTGTTGACCCGTTCGCCGCACAAGGAGGAAGCACAAATCTTTCCTACGCGTGTAGGAGCTGTGTTCACTGATTACAGCATAATAATCTGGTCCGTATTGTTAGCAGTAGGGACTTTTGCCACGGACTTCATCAGTTGGTGATATGGCCATCTGCCATGGATGATCGATTGTTGATTAAGAGTTTGTGTTATGAAAGCACGTATTCATCTGTCCAATTGTTGGTACGACGTTTATTTTCTTGAAGAAAATGTATTGATCTGTTGGCTGCACAAGGAAGCCGGAGGACTCCTATGCCTGTGTAGAAGCAATGTTTACAGGTCGTAGCGTGATCTGATCTGTATTTTGCAAATAGCAGCAGCGACTTTTCAGTTACGTACGTATCGAATGGGGATCATGCGTGGATGGTAGTAGAGCCTGGAAGTGCTTAGTCTATGCACTGCCTGGTACTTTTGGTTATATAAAATCCTGGTGTGGTGGAGGAAGTGATGAGCAGTGGGGGTCTCCAATTGTGTACTCCATTCGATCATCACCTGAGTGATGATTATGTGGGCTCCTGTGAGGTGCTTGATGTCACTTCGACTAGTGTGCCAAAGTTTGGCCTTGGTTATGGGAGAAGTTAGAGCCCAGTAGTAGTCACGTTGACCCTGCATTTAGGTTGTTGACGCGTGAAAATTGACTGGTGTCCTTCAGTCAGCTTGTTTGACTTGGTTGCTGCAGCCTGGCAATGAATGGTTTATATCCACCAAAGTTGGGAAGTCGTGTCTGTCAAGCAGGGGCTGTGATTCCCCAACCGCTAGCAAGGATCGAGCTGTAACATAAAAAAATTGGCATGGAGCTGTAACATAGAAGAAATCATTCGTCAGTGCAGTCGCATGTTGTCAGGTGTAACCTGATTGCTGTGGGAGACTAGAAGGCAACTTATTCTAGTGGAGCTAGAAGGCAACTTATTCTAGTGGAGTTAGGAGGCAACTTATTCTAGTGGAGTTAGAAGGCAACTTATTCTAGTGTAGTGATGGAGTGTGCGACAATTAGCGCGAAATTCTGTTTGATATGGTAGTAGTTGGTGCGCTGAATTCTCTGGTGTGAAGGGGGAATTGGCAGGGCCAACAGCTGTAGATTTTCTTTGATTGATTGGCAGTGCACTTGGTGGGTTTGAAAATTTTGTGTATGCGTCTTATCGACCTGATGTGCGGCAGGGGCTTCGAATGGCCGATAAAGTTTGTTATGCCTGACATATGGTGGTCGGGTTGGCACTTGAGAGGAAGTGGAACATTTTGGAGTCGGGTCTCGCCACCTGATTTTTGTTGCTGTCATTTGTTATTTTCTGTTCAATCAGTTGATTATGATCAAATTTTACATGTCTGTCTGTCTCTAATAGAGACTATGTGGTCCGGAGGAGGCTTCTAATAGCTGGTAGAGTTTGTTATTATTCCTGCCAGAATGTGGTCGGTCGGGTTGGGAAATGAGGAAGCAAAACATTTTGGAGTCGGGTCTCTCCACCTGAGTTTTGTTTCCATCATCACTTGTTATGAATTCAAAATTTCAAATCCGTTTAATCAGTTGACGTCTCTTTGGTCATCCACAAGTGTGTGAATGTCTCCCCCTTCACGGACATCTTCTTTGACAGATTTGGTCTACTTATACTGCTGATCGAAATGAGGTTTGTGTGCTTTTTTGCAATGTTGATGTGTGATGATTTCCAACTTGGCCGCTGCGCGATGAGGTCAGCTACTCTATTAACAGAGTTTGTCATGCTTATGCCTGATCATTGCTTTTTTTTTTTTCCTTTTTTTTTTTGGCCTAAAAGTAGGTGGCATTCAACTCCTTGTTCAATGGGTGCCATTCCTGTGGAACTCAATATTTATGAAGCGCAGGACGCTGGACCCATTTTCCAGCAGGTCTAGCTCCCCACCAATAGACTGGAGCGACCAGGAATCCAGCTAGGTGGGGGTGCTCTTATCACCTCTACTAGCTGAGCAACTGGCTCTGCTTTAAAAAAAAAAAAAAAAAAAAAAAAAAAAAAAAAAAAAAAAAAAAAAAAAAAAAAAAAAAAAAAAAAAAAACACCGCAATGGACAGTGCTATTGCAGACAAGAACGGTTACATGCACTCCACCTATCTAGTTTCACATTGACTTGGAAGGTGGCAATTGCTGTGTGTGATGATATGCAATGGACAAGACAGGTTTTCGAAAGACGAAATTGAGGAAGAGCAGATGCTTGGAAACGAAAGCACAGGTCTATGTTCTTGTCTACTGACCCCCTCTGATAATGTGAAAGAATCTTTTTGGGAAATCCGCAGAACTTGCTCGCCGAATGGCCCAATTGTGATGCACCTGGTGCTCCACAGTGCACAGGGGCGTTTGTGTGCACGTGGCCGTCAGTAGAGACCACACACAGTTTCTCGCTCGTTTCACTCAGTTCGTTGTTGATACTACGTGAAAACTTTTATCCTTCACCCTAAATTACCATCAGTTCATACAGACCATCAGCTTGTGGACCATGACATCAAGCACAGTAGCTATCGGTTTGGGCATCTTGGAAATGCAGAGTGCTGCTTGTTCTGAGCTTTTCCTGAAGTACACCGGGGCCCGGAGGTGCTACACTGCCAGAGTGGTGGAAACTTTGGAGTAGGCGATGAACAAGTTTCTACAAGGCTTGGTCCGTTCCCTGGCTGTTCAATCTCTTGGTACCATATTTTCAAACCTGTGAATGACCACCGGCATGATAATGCCTCTGAATTTAGTTGTTCAGCGCTAGGCGTGACGCACGTGAACGTCGCTTTCTTAAACCACAGTACACCCGATCCTGGAAGCTTTTCCGAACGGCCAGTGGTGTACTTCTTTTTTTCTTTTTTGGCTGGCGCCGCCCGCCATTCTGGTCTGGTGGCCCTAGCAGCAAAATTTTTGGAGTGCAGGCGTGACTGATGCACGTGAACGTCGCTTTCTTAAACCGTAGTACAGCCGGTCCTGGAAGCCTTACCGAACCTCCAGTGTACTTTTTTTTCTTTTTTGGCTGGCACTGCCAGCCTTTCTGGTCTGGTGGGCCCTAGCAGCAAAAATTCTGGAGTGGGCAACGAACAGACTTCTGTGAGCCTGAGGCCGTGTACAGGTGGTTTAAATGCTGGAGCCGGCGCGACATCTACCCAACCAGCCAGGTTGATCGTGTCTTACCGATCTCATTAAACTATATACAATGACCACCGCAAGGCCGACATAGCGCCACTGACCACGAGAGAACATGTCGAATCAGTAGAATGGTGAGAATGAAGTCAGCATCTCTCAGAGTGAACTCAGTCTAGGTTAGCGACGTTTGCAAAACATGGGACATTACTCAGAAGGCATTTCAAAACGTGTGAAGACTCCTCCCGAGCGGACATATGTAGCGGGTGAATTTGAGCATCGAAAGTGCTGTGTCTATCGATGTGGAGTTGCTGTGTGAAATCGAACTGGCCTGGCACCTCGGATGTTGGTGGGCGCGTTACCTCTCTTTCTCAATGCCTTGTACACTGCCATGGGTCTAAGGTGACTGAGTCCGAATTCGCAACATACTGAGAGATCGTGGGGAATGTAGGATGACTATGGTACTGCAAGCTCGAGCTCGAGAAGGGCGAATGTTTGGTGTATTGTTTGTGTATTGCTTTACTACTTCATGAACTTGAATTATATTCAGTTTATGGTTGAATTGGCTGGAAATCTGTTGTCTACTGGATCCTTACAGGAACTGGGGTCTCAAGGGGCATCACAGGGGGACGGCTTCATACTATTTGTGTTCCTTGTGTGGGACCCGCTGTGGTAAGGGTAGTTATATAAGGTTCAAGACTGCAATGGGGTTAAGGTCAATGGTCAACTGCATCATTATGGTAGCTGGGTTGTGGTGGTTGGCAGGGGGAGCGGGGTGGGGGAGGGGGGGAGCAGGGTGCAATGCAGAGCCTCAAGCCTAGCGGGTCATGCTTGCCCTCTTTCTCCTGAAACTCATCAGTAATGGTTGCTGAGAAAGAGATCAGAGAAAAGACGGGGATTGCGTCGGTAGTGTTGACGTCATCTGTACATAAACTGGAGGGACTATGAAAGACGGGGATTGCGTTGGTAGTGTTGACGTCATCTGTACATAAACTGGAGGGACTATGTTTCACCACGAGAACAAAGCTTCTACGGGTTCGTCAGGTCGCGAAGTTCATTAAGCTCTGTCGATTGACTGCAAATTTATGGGAACCGGGTTTGCAATTGTCGTCCAAGTTTCGGAGGGAATGAAGGCGTGGAAGATGTGTCCGCTCTCTTCAATCGAAATGACTAGCGCAACTGTTGTCGGGAAAGAAGTCGGAGATGAGAGTGGGACTCAGCTGTAGGATTGACTGCATCTTTACAGGAGGAGAGCATACTACGAGTGAATTCAGTGGACGGACCATTCTATAATCTCCTTTGTATTCTTACTGGAATTCCTGGGGCTATTATGCAAGCGCATTGAGCCAATAAGCTGGGTTGACTTGTATCAGTACACTGACCTAGCTGCACCCGAGAGTGATGGGACATCACGTGTACAATTCTCCCGGCTCCCTCCCTCCTCCCCCCCCCCCGGGTCCCTCTGTTAAAGAAAGAGATTGCATGTTGGTCAAAGTGAAAACATTATAATCAACAAGCCATTTGGATTGTAATGGTTAATTTCAGAAAACTCTGTTTTTTAATTTTTTACATTGCTAAACGAGGCAAACTTGTGTGGAAGAGTGGAATGGGAAATTAGAAAATCATTTTTGTGAGATCTGAAATGGTTTGGCCATAAAAAAAAAAGAAATGGCTTGGCCAGACTATAGATTGATATGTTTGACTAATAAAACATGACATTCCTTGCGAGATGTCAAATTGTTCTTTGTGTGATGAATGGTTCTTTTCCTGATGCATGGAATTTCGGTGCCGCTCCTCCAGGCCCTGTCAAAATTGTCATGTTATGTCTATACTTTAAACTTCGAACTTTAAAGAGACTCTTTTCCACTCTTTTCCTTTCTCTAAGGGCCTCACTCCACTACTTGCGGAATGTGAAAAACGATAATGAAATCTTCCACTAGAACATGAAAGGTACACCGCCATATTCTTGTCTTTTGTCACGTTTTGTGCATGTGGTGAGTAGTTGAGCGAGGCTGTAATTCATAATTTTTGCGAAAGTGCATTCATGTACGAGGTAATAAGAATCACATCAGGATCTGACTGTTCTCAAAAGGTCCGGTCAAGTTGTGAAAGTTAATCTCGAATAGCCGGTCAAGTTGTGAAAGTTAATCTCGAATACTGGAAAAGTTTTGGAAATAGTCTGAAATTATGTGAAATTATGTGAAATACCAATTTTGTCACCGATTCGATTCCCTTGGGGGGGGGGGTGGGTTACCCCGAGAAACCCAACCAAGCATCATGGAACATAGCTGAAGTGAGATTACCCAATCGAAAAACGAGGTTGTTCAGTTGTATACATTCTGGAAGAAGACCATAATAGCCCCCCCCGATCTTAATGCGGCTGCTGGCACAGGTGAGGAGAGTTTTCTTTCCTCATTGCTCGATTACAAGAGCAAACTGTCGTTGTGGTCCGAGGATGGGAGAGTCAAAGATTTGCCTGATGTAAAATACTGTCGTATTAGAGAACCGAAAGCCTTGCAAGGGAAGGGATTAAGTAATCAACTTCAACACAAATCAAGATATCGACCGCTTCAGGTGTGGTTAGAATTTTAAATCATTTTTAAGTGGTGGAGATCCTTGCGAGTACTTTACCTTCTGTTTGCATGTGCTGTTTTTTGGGCTGTTGGAGAGGTAGTGCTTATAGCCTTATACGTATGTCATCATGGAAAGACAGTTAACTCAGGCCTATCTTTTGGGATGCTTTTAGTCGAGCGGAAATTGTGTTATGGGATATCCTGGCTTTTGACTGGCTTTTTTTTTTTTTTTT